TTCCTGTGTAGCACAAAAAATGAATTTTTTAAGAATACTTTGACTTTTTTTTTTAATATGATGCAAGTGAAAGAGAATGAACATATTCTGATTTTTGTAAACTGGACTCAGATTTGGCTCAAATAACTATTTGTTATCAAAATTAAACATCACTCATCTTCATTAAAAAAAAAGCATATTTTTTTTGTGTTGATGAGAAATAGAGAAATGCATTGAATAGACATTACAAAAATTCATTTTAGAAATAAATATTTTGATTTAACTTTGCATAAACAATGATAATAAATGGGTATTAAAAAGTATTTTAAAGAAATACATATTGAAATGTATTTCAGTTGGTGGCGGCAAGTCCCTATCATTCAGTCATTAATTCTACTGATTCATTCAGAAATTAAGTGACTTATATTTTTTGTTTTGTGAAATTGAGCAAAGCAAACAGTACTGACAATACTGTGTCTAATTTTCATACAATATTATCTTCTTATTTGTTGAACTGTTGAATAAACTCTAATTTAAATTGGCAATCGGGAAAAACAGCACTCTCACTCGTGTGATAATACTAAACTACATCATATGATATAAATAAGACAAAAACCCATACGGGTCATTTTTTGCCCTCATATATTAAATTTTAGGGCCATATAAGTGCATCCTAATAGTTACATGCACTCAGTCATACATCATGTTAGTCAGCAATTGCAGTGTATGAAATGTAAGATGATGTACAGTTCTGTGCTGAGACGGGGTGCGTTAAATGCATTAATCTTTTTAGCACATTTTTTTCTATAATTAGTCGAACCAAATTAAGATGTTCAGCCCTAATAAATACCATGATAATGATTATAGTATTAAGGTACCATGGTATTTACATACCATACTTGATTCGGAATGGTCAATAGCAGCATTCTGCAGTCACATATGTTTATAGTCTTCTTAAATTTAACAATGTAAATACAATTCTGTCCCTCACATTAGGTATGAATGTACGGTATGTATGTGTGTGTACGTATGTATGTATTTTCCTGTGTAGCACAAAAAATGAATTTTTTAAGAATACTTTGACTTTTTTTTTTAATATGATGCAAGTGAAAGAGAATGAACATATTCTGATTTTTGTAAACTGGACTCAGATTTGGCTCAAATAACTATTTGTTATCAAAATTAAACATCACTCATCTTCATTAAAAAAAAAGCATATTTTTTTTGTGTTGATGAGAAATAGAGAAATGCATTGAATAGACATTACAAAAATTCATTTTAGAAATAAATATTTTGATTTAACTTTGCATAAACAATGATAATAAATGGGTATTAAAAAGTATTTTAAAGAAATACATATTGAAATGTATTTCAGTTGGTGGCGGCAAGTCCCTATCATTCAGTCATTAATTCTACTGATTCATTCAGAAATTAAGTGACTTATATTTTTTGTTTTGTGAAATTGAGCAAAGCAAACAGTACTGACAATACTGTGTCTAATTTTCATACAATATTATCTTCTTATTTGTTGAACTGTTGAATAAACTCTAATTTAAATTGGCAATCGGGAAAAACAGCACTCTCACTCGTGTGATAATACTAAACTACATCATATGATATAAATAAGACAAAAACCCATACGGGTCATTTTTTGCCCTCATATATTAAATTTTAGGGCCATATAAGTGCATCCTAATAGTTACATGCACTCAGTCATACATCATGTTAGTCAGCAATTGCAGTGTATGAAATGTAAGATGATGTACAGTTCTGTGCTGAGACGGGGTGCGTTAAATGCATTAATCTTTTTAGCACATTTTTTTCTATAATTAGTCGAACCAAATTAAGATGTTCAGCCCTAATAAATACCATGATAATGATTATAGTATTAAGGTACCATGGTATTTACATACCATACTTGATTCGGAATGGTCAATAGCAGCATTCTGCAGTCACATATGTTTATAGTCTTCTTAAATTTAACAATGTAAATACAATTCTGTCCCTCACATTAAGATATGGAATGGCTTCAGATGATATAGGCTATACATCTTAAGTTCATCTTTTCTTCATGCTGAGGCCTGCCGGGGTTTGCTTTGTGATAATGACATTCTTGACTGTACATTTATCCCTAATGTATCATCTGAACTTTCTGAACTCTGTTTAGTGGAGAGTGTTAGATTGAATACCATTTCTCTCATTTCTGTAATAAAGCTTAATGCAACATTTGCTGGCAATAACTGTTATGCCTTACATTAGCTTTGCTTTGCAAAGTCATTTCATTCTTTTGTCACAATGTCATGTTTTTCATTATCATTAACTCATTCTAAGCTGAATTTGCTTAAGATCACTTACTATGTTCTCCTTTAAAAGTCAGCTATATGCTTTGTTTTGATTAAACCTCTCTTAATGTAATCCAGTGTTATTCGGTGCATCAGCTTTGGGAATAACTGTGATAAATGTTCAGGCAAATGGGGTCTTAAGCTTTATCAGCTGTATAGGCTGAGTTTGGGCAAGGAACTCGAGTTAGTCCTTTGTTGTACTATGGTAATTACTTAGCGTGGGTGTCCTTGACAATACATTACCCTGGGAGAACGCTCCCAGCAGAGCCCTGCAGCAGAAAGTGAAAACCAGTCATTGTTTTATGTCCAAAACGCGATGAACGGCATTTAAAAAAAAATGGAGTTTCCGCCAAAATCAGTATTGTATCTGGTCGGTATTGAAGTCAATTTTTAATTTTACGCAAAATGCGATATCCGCCTAGTTATTCTGTCATGTGTTCTCTCTTTTTTTCCAAACCACAACAAATTTATGTTCGGGCCAATACGGTAAATCTCCATCACGTGCTTTCAGATGGAGCGGCATTTAATACACAGAGCCGTAGATCACTGCAATATCACATTCCTAATCGCAGATGAGTCACATTCGATTATGAACGCGATATTGCGTAGCTTGTCAGTGTAAGTGTTTTTATTTATGCCATTAATGTTTTTGTTAATACAGCGTATAGCACTAGTCAACTAAATGAATTATGAATTATGGCAAATATTAATGCACTTTTGGAAGTTGAATGTAAGGGAAATGTAATTTAGGAATTTCTGTGGTTTAATGTGATGTTGTTCATGCATGTTCATGATGAAATTTTATTTTATTGTTGTAATTAATTTATAGAATTAACAAGATGACCCGTTGAATTCATTTTGGGAGCGATGACTGATTGAATGTATGT